CTCAAGACAATTTTTCAACAAACGCCTTCGTTTGTCTTTCGCCGATCATTGCCTTCGAAATTAGGCGGCGATTGTCAGCGTGAAATTGCTTTCAATGGCTCGGATTTCTCACGGTTCAATTTCACATCCTTAAATGAAGACCGCATTAGCTACAAGCCTCCTGCAGGGATTGCCATCCTCTCAGAAAAATTTATTTATTTATTCACTTATTTAGTTATTTATTTGTTAGCACATAGCGCACACCATCGACAGCAAAACAGCCGTTAGTAACACAGAAAACAAAGGAAGGAAAAAACTGGACATGGAAGAAACCAACAAACCGCTAGATATACTAAACAAAATGATAGGCAGTAGATAAAAGAAAGTCATACAAACCAAGAAAAATATAAGCCAATATAAGCCAAAATTCAAATTATAAAATAAGCCAAATTCGACATTCCTCTGAAAAGTCGAGCTTCCAGGTTGACACCGAATCTTGCCAACTATGATCCGGTGCTGAATGAATACTTCTTCGACCGACATCCTGGTGTATTTTCGATGATATTGAATTACTATAGGACAGGTGAGAATTCCGTGGGGAAAGCTCATTGACTAGTTTTTCACTTATTTCTGGCACAAATTCCAAACCCCTAATGATTATGGAAACGAGGAGGTGGTGCAGGAGCCAGTGGTCTTCTACCCACCGTTGACGGCAAACTGGTGCCAAACTCGACCGGGAGGATAAGAACACTAGCTCCCCCCCCCCCTCCAAATCACTTTATAGGCCACATTGCCTTTAGTGAGCTCCCGCTCCGACACTTATCGCAAGAATGCTGAGTTATATGCAAAAGTCAGGCCCCATACGGAACTACCGCATTTCGTGCTGACCATAAGTACTGGATGAGCAAGTGGGCTACCATTACGGCTTCTCTCACCCTCTCGGCTCGATGGCCTTTTGTGCCATAGTCTTGCAGCGCTCACACTTTTAGCGTGATGAATTCCAGCAATCTTCTGAGTGAAACCGTAAGCAGTGAATTGCGCCAAAAGTGTTATTTTTCAGGTAAACTCCACTATCCAACAAATGTCTGTGGACCATTGTTCGAGGAAGAGTTGGAATTCTGGGGACTAGATGCTAATCAGGTATTCGGATCCACCTTCAACAGTCCCTAGTTTTGAATGTTCGAGCTGTACGGCTTGAAGGGGGTAGGAACGATTTGCAACACCACTTCAACTAGTTCACTTCCTTCTGTCAGTTTGCGTGAAGCTTTACAACTGTTCACAGGTCTCTTTTTGATGAGTGCTGTTGAATTTTGTGAGTTACAAGGCGGGCCTGAAAGTTTCGGGCTGAGTACCATTTGGCGCGGTAAATGTTTCTTCTGACTATCTGGAAGTCATTGCAGCCTGTAACAATCCGAGGACTGCCGCGGTGTTATATTGCACTCGAAAGTGTTTTAGGTGATAACGTACTTAGTTCCATTTCGTGAGAAAAATTGTTTTTGCTGTTCGTGCCGAGTCTGCTTTCACTGGCCTCCCGTCTAATAAATTTATATGACGTCCTTTGGGTCTCTTGGAATTTTTGTAAAAATTTCCAGTGAGTTCTTCTGTGCGTCTACGCTGAATATTATGGGTCGAGCCCTGCTGTTGGATATGACGTAATACGCCAACACAGGTATTACTTCTTTCATTTCTGCTGTACGTTGCTCAGGTTTATTTCCCTTTTTTGTTTTCTTGTCTACTTCTCAACTAATTGACGCAAATTCAAGAATGTTTCATTTTTATGTTGCTTTAGAGATACACAGGACACTTTAGCCGTGATCGAGTCATTAGATCTAGATGGTGATCCTCCGACTCAGGAAGAGGTGAGGAGTGTTTCATTATGTTCCATCTTAGCGCTGAGAGATAAAGTCCACGATCGTTATACGGGCGGAGCTAGGACCGCTGTTTGTGCCTTCCTCACTGGCATGTCCTGCTATTAGAGTCGTCTGCTTCAGCTTTCAGAAGCTCGCCAATGACGGAAGGGCAGCAGGCCTGACTGCCAGCGAGGTTTGCATGACCCACATAAGATCCATGTTCAAGGAGCACTTGAAGACAGTCTCCGGCGCGATAAAGTGTCATGGTTGTTGCTTTTCATTATTTCAGTAGCTGATAGTGATTCCCCAAAGAATAAAGAAAGCAAAAAGAGTCCCCAAGAACACCATAAACAAAATCGCTCCGTAACAGTCACACTCCTATGGTCTTTGTGCAACCCCTGGCTCACAAATCCCTTTATTACATCTCCCAGTAGTGGATGTCATCCAATGCAAAGAAAAGAATACGAAAACAACAAAAACCCGGAAGAAAACTCTTAAGGGGAAAAAACTTCGAATAAACACGGCGTCCCAATTTGGGTTACGGTAGCGAGCGGCTTTTAGTGCATGTTGCAAGTCGAGCTTTTGCACCACAAAAATTGCATCACTCGTGATTTTTATGCGTTTTACCTTACGAGATGGGTTGCATTTGACTGTATGTGCTCCTCAATGAATAAAATGTGATGAAGGAGAGCAGAATTATTCATGGGCACGCGGTCCGCAAAAATGACTTGCAGTCCCAGCGCGATTATTGCCAGCAAGACCGTTAATTGTCAACGTACATTTCACGGGCCAGGCGAAGTCCAGTCGTCTGCGCGTGCGGTCATTGCGGCGCGTGCGGTTGATATCGATTGAATGTGGATATTGACAATTAAGTTCTTCTATTACAGAAGAACTTAATTGTCAATATCATCTGACAGGAATCCACATTCAATCGATCAACGCACGCCGCGCGATGACCGCGACGCGAGACGATGACTTCGCTGGCGTGAAATGTACGTTTTGACAATTAAAAGTCGCGAGAATGGGTCAGTCTCTAGTTTGGGGGCTGTGCTACTTCGCACAAGAAAGGACGACCATGTACTACTTGAGCGCGAGGGCTGTCTTTGAAGGCAGTTGCCACACCTGAAAGCAATTCCTAGGCGTTCATTCCTTCCACAAAAAGCCTGTTTTTGGTCTTCATTCTCTAAGATCATCGCACTTTCGCGATCCCATATGTAGTAATGAAAACGCTGGGCCTCATAAGTGCGCTCTGACGCGCCCCTAGTTGCCTTCCCCCCCCGCCCTCCCGTCCAGACACAGACGAGGCAACTTCTGCACAGGTTCAGATTGCTACCAAGATTTTTTTTCGCTTTTTTTCCCTTTTAGATAGTATTAACATTAGACGACCAAAATGGTAAGTGAGCCACAGGCATCAGGAAGTCGCATTGATGTCATGAAACGTGCACGTCCGAGGAACTCGTACAGTGTAACTCCCAGAGAATCCTTACTTAGGTCCGATGGTTGGATGGGGTGGATGGATGGTCCGTCTGATGGTTCTCCATAAATTTTTTTTGCTTTTTTCTGAAGCACAATGATTGGCCCGCTCCGCCAAACAAGGAGCGAGGAACATGGCTCAAAAAGGTGTGAAGGGGAATATAATGAAATAGTCATCTTCAATAAACGTCCTTCTGCGGTGCGCCAAGCACTTCATTATAGAGTCCATACTTTATGAAGGCACTTGAAGGCAGTTGGCACGATAATTTCATGTACTTTGAAAAGAGCAAAGGTGCCCAGTAATGCAAAAATAGTGAAAAAACGGGGCGAAATGGTGGGGAAACCACGAAATGGGGCTTTATTTCTTCGCTGCACTGCGGCAGTGGACGAGCGAACGGCTGGGGCGGGCGCTGCTTTGGACGAGTCTACCGACTGAACCGTTACTGCTGGCAAAAAGCCAGCAGTACGTTTTTCGTCGCTCTACATTATCATACATTACACGTAGGCACGGGCGGTCTACAACGGCACGTCCTCGTGCTGTGATGCTATACGTCCGATGGTAGGCGGGCGGGCGAGGTGGGCGTCCGGGTCGGTATGTTGCTGCTCGCTAGGGCGCTATAAGGGAACGAAAAGGCGCTACGCAGCGTCTGTTCACGGTCACGGAATTCTGTCATGCCAGTCGTATTAATCCTACTCGTCTCTGGATTTCGTGCCAACTGCCTTTAAGGTGTGATCCGAATCTGCAAAGCCATTCAATGAGCAAACCGGTGTTATGCGGTTTTGGTAGCAAGCAGTCCATTCTGGAGGGCTGAAGCGCTTAGATTCCCTTGATGAAGTTCGTTGTGGGGGTTGATCCAAAGAAGCGCGCTAGGTACGCAGCGCCATACATGC